ATTCATTTATTTTGTCTGAAAGAGAATGGATTGCATAACCGCTGGTTACTAACACATCGTCACCATTCTCATGTGTGACATGACTCAATTGTGGCAAAGGAATTTAAGTACCACAGTCAAAGCTCACACATGTACTTTTGGATTCAGCAAGCGAATGGTAACTGCTCGTAGGTGGTTGCGTTCTAATCATCACAACATTTCATTTATTCGAACACAGGCAAATATGCTATCAAACTTACCCAGTTTGTATAGGCTTGTCGTATTGGATACCCTTCGCCAACNTTTCTGCGACGCTCTCCAGAATTTTCGCCTCAACTTTCAATTTCTTATCGCGCTCGGTCTCCTTTCGTTCTGTGGGGTTCACAGTAAGACACAATTAGATTAAGGAGTAGAAACGTTACCTTCAGCCTTTTTCTTCAGCTCCCACATGCGATCGAAGAGACTGCCATGAGCATGAGGACCAACGTGATTCAAATAGTCATCATCATCATCATCTACACCACGTACTTCGTTGTCACTATCATCTCCAGTCCCATCTTTCTTGCCTTGCGAACCGGCATTTTCTATAGTTTCATCGTCCTTCACTTCTTCTGTGTAGGCCAGATTCCCCAACATTTTTTGTAGGGTAAACAACTGATAATACGATAATAAAATGTCGCAAGTTATCCGAAGAAGAATGTTAGAGAAAATAATTAAAGCGAGAAATTCCAAGTAGATTATAATCATTATGAAACAAAAATCGCTCAGCTGTATCCTAGAAATTTATGTGACTTACCCTTGGGAGCTAGGACCGATGACAGTTCACATTGTCTTATCTTTTTTTCTTTTCAATTTACTTTCTTTTATTGAATATACAATGACAATTTTTAGGAAGGGGAAAGCAATCAATTAAAGGGTTGTCATAAAACACAGAATGGCGGAAGTTAGGTGGTGGTGGGATTCGAACACAGCCTTCGGGGCGGTAATTTGGTGATCTTTACCACTCGGCCACCATTGCCACGTAATTCACAACATTTGTAAAGTAAATACGAATGTTTAAAGAGAACATGAATTGCAATTATTTAGGAGAAAAACGAAGTGAGCCAACATTGGCAGAACATAGAGCGCAAAATCTACCAGCAAATAAACACCTTTTCAAAAATACAAGTGTCACTGAAGTCGATTTTTTGTGAAGTTCTTCAGTACTAACAATAAACCGATTGCATGATATTTGGGATATCAGTCCGGAAACACCGCCGAAAATGATACAAGCTTGGCTTTACTTTGCTTCGGTTAGCTCCAGTGACAGGAGGAGCCGGCATTATAAAGAGTTTATGAACTTTCACGCGATTTCGGAACAAGTGAAATAAAATAATACCAGCGGTCATCCAAGACATTTGATTTGAGTAAAGAAGGCAAGTAGATATTCCCACCACATCAGGCTCTTCCATGAACACCTAATGGAGAGAAGCCTGTCATCAAAATGAGTGGTACTTTAATTCGTCAGAAAGATTGAATCTCCGCAAGGAAAAAGCAGCTATAATTTGAGCACGAAACGAGCGTATACGCGATAATACCGAAAGGCTGCGATGCGGATTTCTGCCGAGTTTCTCTGCTTTTTTTGAAAATCAATCTGGACCTGCAATGACTACAACAGAACGCAACTCCTAACGAGATGTGAAATCAAAGAGTATCAGAGAATACGAATTTTGGTGGTGTTAACGTGCATCAGAGATGGAATGCGCTGCCGCCATAGCAAAGTCTCATCGGAAGGACATCGCCTTGATGTGTGACAATAAACAAACAGTCTAACTTGCTATGCAACGTCAAAATGTAAATTGCTTGTTCAAGACTGGCGAGAGCATACGCTTACAATCACCCT